ATACAAACACTGATCTCTTCAGTACAACATCTAAAGCAGATGATGGCCACGTCGACATGGTCAAAGGGATCCCCAGAAGGAAATCTATGACACTCATAAAACATCGTCTTACTTGATCTGCTCCATTGATGCTGCCAATGAAAATAATGACCACATGCATTTTAAAGAATGATTTATTCTGGCTGGAAGACTTCAGAATGCAAACATTTAAAGCACTATATCTAGGAAGTAAGACAAAGGTATAAGATGTTATTTGGTATGGAGTACAAGAGGGGTATGTTATGAAAAATGATGTCACATTATCTAGATTTCAAGGCATTCCCAAATATGTGCTCCTGGGCATCCAGCCAGACTTCTTCTTGTGAAGATACTAAAATATGATCTGACTGGCTGAGCCAAATGATTTAGGCATTAGCATAATGTAGCAAAAGGAAACAATCAGAAAGTATTGTTTCAAAATAATAAGAGAATACCTTAATCAGCAACATGCTAGTAAAAACATCAGATCTGGGAAAACTCTTGGATGTCAGGAAAGGTTTTGTTATGGTGAATGTGTCACTACAATCATGAGCCAGCTACCATTCGCTATGACCCAAACATGGTGATCGTCAGGATAAAATTCAGAAGGATTCTGATTAATTACAGGAGCAAGCCAGGGATCCAAATATACCTCAGTTCCTTCTATCAGAAGAAAAGTCAATTCTCTCTCCCTCCCTCCATATATACGTGTATAGGCAGACATTTATAGATACATATCTATAGATACGTATCTTTTTAGATATATAGAGAAATAGATACAGATAGACATACGAAGAGTAATTTCTACTAATAGGTTCATATACATATATATATGAACTGTGAGTAGAAGAGGTACACTTAAAAATGTGTGTACAATCGCTAACATTTATATAGCTCTAAAATCTGCCAAGTATTTTACATGTTATCTCATTTGTCCTCATAACAGTCATGTTAAACAGGTACTATTATAATTCCCATTTTACAGATGAAGAAATTGAGGCTGGGAGAGGTTGAATGACTTGCCCAGGGTCACACAGCTACTAGGTGTTTGAAGCAGGATTCAAACTCAGGTCTTCCTGACTCACATTGTACATATGATTAAATGATCACAGTTATTTTTATTCAGGTCAAGAAATATAAACTCACAAATGAAGTTTAAAATGTAAGCTTTGTGCTAGGTAACCATGTCTACTTGGCTATGAATCATGGAACACCACTAAGAAGAATCCAGATTACAAGTGGCTTATTACCGACAAATGTCTCCCTGCCAGAAGGCTAATAATGCTTCCAACTCCCTCATTCACATCATCTCATCAGATTCTGCCTGGGAACCCGGGCAAGAAGCTACCACGGACATCACTATCACCATCTTCTAAGTAAGGAAGGGGAGTCTTAGCAGTGAAATGAGATGCTCAGGGTCAAACAGCCAGCCAGCATTAAAGGCGGGATTCGTACCCAGAGCTCTCCTCTCTCCAGATCTAGAGCTCTCTTCATGATAGCACGTTGCTTTGACAGAAAGAAGACTTCCAGAATGTTGGGTGGATTCTCTGTGGAGCACTTAGAGGAGAACATGGACATAAATTGTGCTGAATGAGAAGGCAAGGAGAGGTTGCAATCTGTTCCAGGGAAGGGGGCATCCACCTTGGTGAGACTGTGAGTCTATTGGTACATGCATCCACCAGTTCAGACCATGACTTATTCTCAGCCTGTATGATTCTTGTCCATGTTCACTCATAAATTCTCCATAGAGGCACCACTCCATCAGTCAGTCAAGCGCAAGCATTTAAGTACCTACTATGTTCCAGGCATCATGCTAAGCACTGGGGGCATGAAGAAAGGCAAAAACACCATCCCTATTCATGAGGAGCTCAGTCCTTGGGGAATGAGGAGGCAGACAACACGCAAATAGATATGTCCAAACACATTTTATGTAAGATAAACTGGGGGGAGGCAGTCTCAGAGGGGAAAAAAATCAAACACTAAGATGAAGGGGGATTGGGAAAGACTTTTTGCAGGCAGTGGGATTTTAGTTGAGATTTGAAGAAAGCCAGGGAAGCCAGGAGGCAGAGGTGAGGAAGAAGACAATTCTCCGCATAGGGGACAGCCAGTGAAAATGGCCAGAAGTGGGAGAGGGAGGGTCTTATGTGAGAAATAAGACCCAGGTCACTGAATCAGAATACACAGGGGTAGGAAGGCCTAGGAAGGGTCCAGGTTATACACTTAGGTGTTTCTGCACATTGTGTGAGTACCAACGCAGCTCTGGGGCTGTCCATTTATGACTCACCATACTAGCTACATAACTGACATGCCTCCTTTGGTGATTATAAGTTTCCCGCAAAATGATAAATGTTGGAGAAGATGTGGGAAAATTGGAACACTAATGCATTGTTGGTGCAGTTGGGAAATGATCCAACCATTTTGGAGAGCAATTGGAACTATGCCCAAAGGGCTATCAAAATATGCATACCATTTGACCCAGCAAATAGCACTTCCAGGGCTGTATACCAAAGAGATCATACAAATGGGAAAAGGACCCATATGTACAAAAATATTTATAGCAGCTCTTTTTGTGGTGGTGAAGAATTGGAAATGGAGAGGATGTCCATCCATTGGGGAATAGCTGAACAAGTTGTGGTATATGAATATAATGGAATACTATTGTGCTATAAGAAATGATGAGCAGGCAGACTTCAGAAAAACCTAGAAAGACTTGTATGAACTGATGATGAGCAAAATGAGCAGAACCAAGAAAAAAATATAGTAACAGCCGTGTTGTATGATGACTAACATTAATAGACTTAGCCCTTCTCAGCAATGCAAGGATCTAAGACATCTCCAAAGATCTCATGATGGAAAATGTTATCCACGTACAAAGAAAGAACCATGGAGTTTGCATGCAGATTGAAGGATACTATTTGCTATATTTTTCTTCTGTTTTGTTTTGTTTTCTCTTTCTTGCGGTTCCTCCTGTTGGTTCTAATTCTTCCTTACAACATGACTAATGTGAAAATATGTGTAATAGGAATGTATATGTATAGCCTGTATCAAATTGCATGCCATCTTGGGGAAGGAGGCAGGGAGGGAGTGGGAGAAAAATTTAAAACTCAAAAGCTTATGGAAATGATTGTCGATAAGTCAAAATAAATTAATAACAAAAAATAAGTTTCCTGCTCATTACTCCTTCCTGATGTCACCTCTCATGCCTATGTCATTTTTGAAAATGGGCATAGCCTACCCACTCGCGCCATACTCAGAGGTTCTGATGTTCTGTAATTCATGACCATACAGCTCAAATGAAAAAATAAAGGTGTTAAAAAGAAGCATTTTGTGGCATTTGAAAGCATGACACTATTTCCCCAGAGCACTTGCTCTTTGACTTCTTTTCATCTCAAGCCCCACATTACTTTCCATTGGTAAGGCTAGACCAAGGCATATATATTTGAGGAGAAAGGGCATTAACAGCTCAGGGGGTTAAGGAAAGTTTTCAGGAAGAGGTGGTACCTGAAATGGATTGTCCAGTCAATCAATTAATCAATCAGCAAACATTTATTGAAAGTCTCCTATATACCAGGCACTGTTCTAGGCCTGGAGATAAAAATACAATAAAGGGGCAGTTAGGTGGTGCAGTAGATAGAGCACCGGCCCTGAAGTCAGGAAGACCTGAGTTCAAATCCGGCCTCAGACCAGATACTTGACATTTACTAGCTGTGTGACCCTGGGCAATTCACTTAACCCCAACTACCTAAAAATTAAAAAAAAAATAAAAATACAATAAATAAAACAATGCCTACTATCAATGTCCTGCATTCTATTAAAGATAAGTTGAAGGTGGTGCTTAGCCTGGATCTTAAATTTAGGAAGAAAGGTGTTCCAGGAGGTAGAGGTGAGGAGAACTGCTTTCCAGAAATAGGGTGGGTCAGTGCAAAGCCAAGGAGAGGAGAGATGGTGTGTCATATGTGAGGAATAGAGAGATCTGTTTAACTGGATCCCAGAGTGCACAAGCTCACCGAGGCTGGAAAGCCAGGTGGGGGCCTGGGTGCGAAGAGATTTGAAAGATAAAAATAGAAATCTACATTTTGTTCTAGAGGCAAAATGGAACCACTGGACATTACTGAGTAGGGCAGTCACAGGATCAGATGCGTACTTGAGGAGATCACTTTGGCAGCAGTGTGGAAAAAGGTCAAGAGTAGGGAGAGGCTTGAGGCAGGAAGATCGACTACGAAACTTTCAATAAACTAGGTGAGGCTTTCTTATGCTTCTTCCCATTAATTCTAATTCTTCTTTACATCATGACTAATGGTAAAATATGCTTAATATGAATGTATAAGTAGAGCCTATACCAGACTGCATGGCATCTTGGGGAGAGGGAGGGAGAGGAAGGGGGAGAAAATTTAACACTCAAAATCTTATGGAAGTGAGTGTTGAAAACTAAAAATAAATTAATAAATTACAAAAAAGAGAAAAAAAAATAAACTAGATGAGAAAGGATGAGTATGAACCAAGGTGGTGGCTGTGTGAGTAGACAAAAGAGGGTCAGATATGAAAGATGCTAAAGACATAGAGATGAAATGATGTAGCAGCTGAATGAACATGACATCAGGAAAAGTTAGAAATCCAGGATAACTTTGGAGTTACAAACTTTGGAAGACTGGAAGGATCGAGATGTCTTTGATGGAAATAAGGAAGGTTGGAAGAAGGGTGGCTTGGAGGGGAAAGAGGGAGTTGAGCTTAGGATATTTTTTGCTTGAGATATCTCTGGGACATCAGGTTTGAAATTTCCTATAGGCAATTGGTGATGTGTAACTAAAGATCCACAGAGAGATTGGGCTCTCTGAATCATCAACAGAGAGATAATTATTAAACCCGTAGTAATTTCTGGGGTCACTGAGAGTACAGAGAGAGAAGAGGAAGTGGCTTTCTCTCTCTTGCTTTAGCCTCTTCCAGTCAGTGGAGTGCCTGTTAGCACAGGCTGCAATGTAAAGATGGCTAAGTCTAAGAACCATACCACCCATAACCAATCACAAAAATGGCACAGAAATGGCATCAAGAAATCTAGGTCACAGAGATATGAGTCTATCAAAGGGGTTGACCCCAAGTTTCTGAGAAACATGTGCTTTGCCAAGAAACACAACAAGAAGGGGCTGAAGAAGATGCAGGCCAATAACGCCAAAGCCATCAAAGCACGAGCAGAGGCCATCAAGGCCCTGAGCACCAAGGCCTCCAAGACCAAACTCCTCAGGCCCAAGATCCCCAAGGCCAGTGCCCAGAGTGCTGGACATAAGATGGTCACCAAGCGTCCAGGCCCTAGAGTTGGCATCAAATGGCCAGGCCTCAGGATCATGAAGCCTGACTCTACTGTTGCCAGGACCACTGACCCCAAGGCTGCCAAATCCACTGGCCCCCAGGCTGCCAAGTCTGCTGCCAAGGTCAGTAAGTCTGATCCCAAGGCTACCAAATCTGGCCCTAAACCCAGCAAATCTGACGCCAAGGTCGCCAGGTCCAATTCCAAGGCTGCCAAGTCTAATCCCAAGGCAGCCAAATCTGATTCTAAGGCCACAAAGTCCAGTGATTCCAAGGCTGCTGAGCCGGCTGAGTCTAAACCCAAAGATGCTGGGGCTAAAGCTGCTAGTTCCAAGCCTTCAAAATGGATGCTTCAGGACAGAAGGACTTATTTAAACCCTAAACTACCGTTTTTTCCCAGTCAGGGTATGATTATTCTATTCACTATTTTGTACAAATAAAGAAAATGGTGAGTCATAAAAAAAGAAGAGGAAATGGTCTAGAGCAGAGATTTGGAGAATACCCAGAGTTAGGGGGCATGATATGAATGATGAGCCATCAAGGGAAACAGCAGGAGCAATCAGATAGGTGGATGATGAGCAAGGAGAGAATCACATCATGAAAACCCAGAGAGGAGAGAGTGTCCAGAAGGTGATCGAGAATGTCAAATGCACGTTGGTGGAGTTGTGAACTGATCCAGCCGTTCTGGAGAGTAATTTGGAACTATGCCCAAGGGGCTCTAAAACTATGCATACCTTTTGATCCAGCAATACCACTACTAGGTCTGTAACCCAAAGAGATTATAAAAAAGGGAAAAGGACGCACATGTACAAAATATTTATGGCAGCTCTTTTTGTGGTGGCAAAGAATTGGAAATGGAGGGGATTCCCATCAATTGGGGAATGGCTGAACAAGTTGTGGTATATGAATGTAGTGGAATACTACTGTGCTATAAGAAATGATGAGCAGTCAGACTTCAGAAAAACCTGGAAAGACTTATAGGAACTGATGCTAAGAGAAGTGAGCAGAATCAGGAGAACATTGTACACAGTAACAGCAACATTGTGCAATGACTGATTTTGATTGACTTAGCTTTTCTCAGCAACACCATGATCTAAGACAATTCCAAAAGACTTATGATGGAAAAGGTTATCCATATCCAGAGGAAGAATGATGGAGTCTGAATGCAGATTGAAACATACTATTTTCTCTTTTTTTCCTTTCTCACGGTTTTTCCTTTTTGTTCTGATTCTTTCTCAACATGACTAAAGTGGAAATATGTTTAATATGATTGTGCATGTATAGCCTATATGAGATTGCTTGCCATCTTGGGAAGGAGGGTAGGAGGGAGAAAAGAAATTTGGAACTCAAAATCTTAAAAAACTGAATGTTGAAAACTATCTTTACATGTAATTGGAAGAAATAAAATACTATTAACTGGAAAAAGTGTCAAATGCAACAGATAGGCTGGGATAAGGAATGCTCCTTATATTTGGGTATTAAAAGATCAATGGCAACTTTAGAGAGAACAGTTTCAGTTGAGTGATGGAGTCGGATGTCATACTGCCAAGGACGAAGGAAATGAGTGAAAGGAAGAGAAGCGGAGGCAGTGAATGCAGTTAGCTTTTTTCCCAAGTACACTCTAAAAAGAGAAGAGAGATATAGGATGATAACTTGGGACAATAGAATCTGGTAAAAGTTTGCAAAGGATGGGGAACACTTGGATATGATTGAAGACAGTAGGGAAGGAGCAGTAGAGAGGGAGAGGTTGAAGATTCATGTGAGAGGGGATCAACTGAGAGCATAATCTGTTGGAAAAGACAGGAGGGGGGATCAAGTGCATGTGGAGAGGGGTTGGTCTTGGTAAGGAAAAGGGTTTTGACCTCTTTGTCAGAGACTGAGAGAAAGGAAAAAAGAGTAGGGGATGATGTCAACAGGTTCTGAGATGAAGAGAAGGGGGAAAGAGGGAACTCATGTTCCACAATTTCTATTTTCTCAATAAAGAGGAAAAATCATTAATTGAGAAAAATGGGGAGGGAGAGGGTTGAGGGGTGAGAGGTTTGAATAGAGAAGAGAAGGTTCAAAACAGCTTCTAGAAGGAGTGAGATGGGCCACCAATTACGAAGGAAAAAAAGGACTGCCTTACTGCAGTGAGGGCCCAGGTGAATTTGTAATGTATCCAGTCAGCAGGGTTCTATGACCTTGTCCAATTCCATTCAGGAGTACATGAATAGGGGTGGAAGAGGTTGATGAGGGAATGATCTGGGTATGATATTTGGCAAATGATGATAATCAATAGAACAGTATACAAGGGATTTGAGAACAAAAAAATTTAGCAGAGAGCTAAACTGCCTAACTACAGGGTCAGGATTAAGAAGGGAGGAAAGTGAAGTCAGACAAGGGTTAACGGTATTAGAAAATACTGGAGAGGGCACAGAGGGATTGGAGATCATGATGACAGCAAAGCATGGGTTTGGGAGAGATGAGGAAGAGAAAGAGGTGCATTGATAGGAGATGATGGTCAAATGGGTGTCAGAGTTTGGTTCTAGGGTGTGGTCATCCCAAAGAATGGCTGCGGCGGAATAGGATAGGTCATGGAATTTAAGGAAACTGAGGAATTGGGAGGTTAGGGAGCTAGAAGGAGCATCAATGGTGCATTTAAAATCCCCTAATTAAAGGGTAAGAATCAGGCAGGAGAGGAAGACAGTGAGGCAGGGGCACGTACTGTAATCATTTCATCCACTTGGTTTTCCTCCAATGGATTATTGGACAAAACATGTTTGAGTGGTTATGAAATTCATCAAAGACCTATGAAATTCTGGGGCTTGTTACATTCTGTCAATGTCATCCAAAAACAAGATCATTCTAGGGAATCCCTCTTCTCTCTGGACTCTGTTCAAGGCATCTTCTGCGACTGTGGTGAACACCTTTGACTAAAACATGTGCCCTTTTTTATGTCTTTATTGATATCACTAATTAGAGGTTTGTGGAAGAGCTATGTCTCCATGACTGCATTTACCAAAGAATATTTCATGATATCAAAATAGATATGAGAGATTCCTTGTTGGAGATTTGCTTTTATGGGTATATTTTGCTCTATTGAGGCTAACCCAAGGGGAAAAAAAAACTCTTTTACAAGATGGGGATTCAGGATGAGGAAATGAACAAAGGAACATTTAGTTAGCGAGTACTTACTACATACCAAACACTCTGCTAAGCACTGACACAAATACAAAAGTGGATACAGTCCCTTCTCTCCAGAAGCTGACCTTCTAACAGGAAAGAAACACTTTGAGGGGATATGCTGGTCAGGGAGAGGGCACTTTGATTTGGAATGTCTCAGGGATGGTGAATGGAGCCACAGGGAGTGGATCGACATACCCTTTCCAGTGGGAGTAGCAGTATTGATTTTTATTATTCATCTAGAGGTGGAAAGCAGTAAGGGATAAGAGGACACAGAGCTATCCATATGGGGGTAGTGTGGTTGGTGAGAAGATGCCAGAGTTAACTGAAGTACTGCTTGTGTTGTCTGGCATGGTGGGTCACATGAGGCCCTCGCCAATCAGGACTGGCCTATACTCAAAGATTTAAAACCCTTGTTTTTGAGTGACCGCACATTTAAATTAGGTTTTACTAAATTAAGCATAAAAGATGCATTTTTACACTTGAAAAAAACAAGAGAAGAACAAAGAGGTAATGCTTCCTCCCCCTTTATTTGATTCTTTTAGGATACTTAGGCCATTGGGAAGGAAGAGACAAGGTCCTGCTTGAAGGGTTAGACCACAGCCACAAGAAAGTCTCAGTATATTTATGAATGACTTAGATCAAAGGGAAGCCTGGAAATAAGAGGGGTGGGAGAAGCAGATCAAGGTTTCAGTGAAATGATAGATACTTTTATGGTCAGATTTATTTTATTTTTAAAGTTGAACAGGTCTTAGACACCATGATTTATTTGTGATTAAGAAAAACACATGCAGTAAAGGCACATGGCCTTGGCTGTCAAGGAAAGCATGCATTTCTAAAGCTCTGGGACATAGGTTTTCATACTTTGCCCAAAGAAAATAAAGAGGGGGCGGAACCAAGATGGCGGAAGGAAAGCAGTGACTGTCTTGAGCTCTCTCCCAAAGCCCTCCAAATACCTAAAAAAATGGCTCTAAACAAATTCTAAAGCAGCAGAACCCACAAAAAGACAGAGTGAAACAAATTTCCAGCCATAGACAGCATGAATGGTTGATTGGAAAGGTATATTGTGCGGGCGGGAAGAGGAGCATAGTTTGGTGTGGGTGCGCAGGCTGCAGCAACTCTGGAGCAGGCCTCAGAGGACTGAATCACGGGCAGCTGTGGTGGTTTCCAGACTTCTCAACCCAGGAATGCCAAAGACAACATGGAAGGTCAGTGGGAAAAGTCTGTGACTGCGGTGAGAGAGGAGCTAGGTCTCAGCCGCAAGTCTCGAGCTCATCCCGGGCCGTGGCTGTTTCCTGAGCTTCTGGCCCACAGACTGAGGGGGAATCCAGTGGCTGATCAGAGGGGGATTGCAAGGATCTCTTTGCCAATGCTGAGGCAGGAATCTCTTGCTTTACCAGTGCTTGGATCTGGGTCACAGTTCTGAGGGGCGGTCCTGGGGCAAGGAGGAACACTGGTGTGGTGAAGTTTGTTGTGGCTGTGGAGAGGAAACACCTCGCCCCTTATCATACCACCTTGGAAGAACTGAAAATTTACAGGTCCCTAGAAGTACCTCTGAAAACAGCTGTACAAACCCCCGAAGCTTGGGACAGTACACTCTTCACATTGGAAACAGACTTTTACCTTAACAAAGAGTTTAAAACTCAAATAATTGGCCAGGATCATGAGTAAGCAGCACAAAAAGAGTCAGCTACTATTACTTTGGTGACAAAGAAGATCAAAACATACAACCAGAAGAAGACAACAAAGCCAAAGCTCCTACATCCAAAGCCTCCAAGAAAAATATAAATCAGTCCCAGGCCTTGGAAGAGCTCAAAAGAGATTTTGAGAAGCAAGTAAGAGAAGTAGAGGAAAAGCTGAGAGTGATGCAAGAAAATCATGAAAAACAAGTCAACAGCTTGCTAAAGGAGACCCAAAAAAATACTGAAGAAAATAACACCTTAAAAAGTAGACTAACCCAAATGGCAAAAGAGGTCCAAAAAGCCAATGAGGAGAAGAATGCCCTCAAAAGCAAAATTGGCCAAATGGAAAAGGAAGTCCAAAAGATTACTGAAGAAAATACTTCCTTAAAAATTAGAATAGAGCAATTGGAAGCTAGTGACTTTATGAGAAATCAAGACACTGTAAAACAAATCCAAAAGAATGAAAAATTAGAAAACAATGTGAAATATCTTATTGGAAAAAGAACTGACCTGGAAAATAGATCCAGGAGAGAGAATTTAAAAATTATTGGACTATCTGAAAGCCATGATCAAAAAAAGATCCTAGACATCATCTTTCAAGAAATTATCAAGGAAAGC